AATAGTAGAGATTGTATTATTTGTCTCTAAATTCATACATATATAATACTAGGAACTTCAAATTTTCAGCAGTTGGCTAATTCCTGCATAAAGCTTTTCAAAGAAACATTACTAATCATATTTAACAGTGTAATGAGTCAAACAAACATGGTAATATGGAAATGTCTATTTTTTAATTCAGTAAGTGATAATTTGGGGGCAATTTTTGACACATTTATTCCCAATTCTTTACTGCCCATTCTAAGATAATAAGTAGCATTAACACCATCAGCATAGTGAAATGAACGTTATAATACAGAGAATCATGCAGCAGGGTTTGGTGAAAGGAAGAAATTTTCAGCACTGACCAACTGGAAAGCAGCAACATTGAAAGTGTATGCGGGATGTGTTTTTTTGTATATGTATCAGATATCTTAAAAAGTATGGCTTTTTATTAATCAAAAGAAAACAATTTTATTTTTAATTTTTAGACTAGGTTTTGAATTTTTCTTATTTTGAAGTTGTAAATTCAATCTGATAGAAGAGTATAAAAAGGGGCCAGGGATTTAGCTTAGTGGTTCTGCCACCTGCCTCATAAGTGCAAGGTCCTGAGTTCAATCCCGGGTACAAAAAAAAAAGAGTATAAACATGCACGTCACATCACCTGAGTTTAATGGGTATGGTATTATAATGAATATGTTCACCTTACCGAGGCTATGAACATATTCAAGTAATGTATCCCTATGTATTACACAGATGTCTAACTGGCACATATATCCAGACTTAAACATTATCGAAAAGCAGATAAAAATCACAAAGTAAATTTGGCACTTGAGTCTACTGTCATGACCCTCTATTGCTGTAATGGGAACCATTCAGCCACTCTACTTCACCTCCCTCTCCCTAGCACCCTACCCCTCTGCTTTTGTCCCCAGCCACTTGATCGTTTCCTTCCTTCTCCACTAAGTATGTCTTAAGCCTATCAGTCATACTTAAACCTTATGAAGCTTCTGATCCCTATTAATGAAGGTAAAATAGAACTTATGTAACCTTGAGGGTGCCATGAATTTCAAAACATATCTTATATGCAAGTTTAATACGGTTATTAGGGCAAACTCTTAGGAAGCTTTTCACTTATGGTCTCTCTTCCTTTGTTTGCATATATGCAACCAACTCAAGCCAGCTTGAGTTCTCTGTGTATGTGGTTCACAGAACAAATGAATTCAAGTCCACTAAAGTAAACTAAAGATTCAGTTAAAGATTATTCCAGAGACATACTTTAGCCACTTCTCCTTAGAAATGACAGACAGTTAGGGGTCTATAGTTAGGAGATGTGCACTTGGATATAATAAATTCTGTGGAAAGGACCCTCTTCATCCAATTCAAATATTCTCCTCCATTCAAACCCCAGATCAAATGGCACTTCTAGCAGACCCTGCCTGCCCTTTCCCTTTCACCCTGATCGCCACTGCTTAAGAATTTGTATAAGGCACTGCTGCCACTCAATTTACTGTTTTTTTATGGTCCATCTGAAACTGTTATTTAAATGCGTCATGTCTGAGATTTGCTTAGTATGGACAGTAAGCTTCTTAAAAGTAGGATTTCTGTATCCTCTACCTTACCTAGCACAAGCAAATACTGAATGAATATGGTCAACTGTGGAAAGCATAAAAGAGGCACCAAAACAATGAAGTATATGTGACTCTAGGGAAATGGTGTTACTTCTCCCATCCACTCATATTGCTCCTCATTTTTCATCCCTCTAATTCTTGCCAGTTGTGAGTTCTTTAGGTGATCTGTAAATAAAAGGTACTGAGCAAATTGCAGAGGGATTTTAAGCTTCATTTGTTTAGGCTTGCAACTAAAGGCCAAGAGAGGACAACTACAACGGGTTCTTCCTTGAGGCATGCTCAAGTATTTGAAGAAAGAACCTGGCAGGAGGGACACAAAGGTCCCTTCCAATGCCAAGAGAAACCCAGATCGTGGTACTATAGATCTGACTTTGGCTTTTAGCTCCTCGAATTTAGACAAATGGTTGTTTGGCTTCTTTTTTATTCCTTTGTTTTCCTTTTTTCCCAGTACTGAGGCTTAAATCCAAGGCCTTCACACTCAGCTACAGTTCCAGCTCTTTTTAATTTTTATGTATTTATTTTATTTTGAGACAAGGTATTGCCAAGTTGCCAAATTGCCCAGGTGAAGTCCAAACTTAAAATCTTCCTACCTCAGCCTCCCAGAGCGCGCACCACTGCATCTGAGTTTTCGTTCCCTTTTGCAACCGCCACATATTTAATTGACTACATTATGTATGTATCTTTTATTGCATTATTTTACCTACTCTAACATTTTATCTACCTATTTTTGCTTTCAAATGAAGAGTAGGAAATGAGTTAAGGGGACTGGCAGCAGGAGACATCTTGCCCTCTTTTTAACAGCCTCTGGGCTCCACTTAGCTCCTTGTTCAGTATCAAGGGTAGGGTCTCCTTGCCTCTAAAATCAGCTTAGCAGGAAAGGCTGACATTGCCCTATCGACCTGCAACTGTTGTCCTTGGAAACTAAGCTGAACCTCAAACTGACAGTATCACCTGCTCCAGGATCTTGTCAAGCAGCTCAGGATGACAGAAGGAACACACTGCTATTACACAAAATAGCAAAATAAATAAAACATAGTAAACCAAAACACATGCTGTTCAATACACACACACACACATACTTGCTCACATTGTTCACATCGCCCAAGTAGTTTGTATTATATAGGAAAAATTAATATATTCTTACCAGGGGATAATCCTTTGGATTTTATTTAATGGAAAAAAATCCAGTGGACTTAAATACCCCCGTGAAATTCTTTGGCAGAGACATTACACAGGAAACAAAATGAAATTATTATACCAAGCTTGTTATCCCACTCTCTAAATTATATGACATAATCTCAGCCATGCAATTCCAGGAAATATTTCCCTTTTATTCACAGGCAATTTTAATATGAAACCAAGCTTTAAAGGGAAAAAGGGAAGCGCAAAAAATCTACTCTTACTCCCAGTCAATTGAGAAAGAAAAGAAGAAGTGAAAGAAGCTGGGGGAAATATATTCTGTCAGACTACAGACTTCAGTGAAATCTGAAAAAAAAATGTTTTATGCAAACTAGAGTAGCTGAAATGCTGTAACCCAACAATGGATTCAAAATGGTTTACTACCATCAACAGATGAATGCATAAAGAAAATGTAGTATTTATACATATGGAATACTACTCCTTCGTAAAGAAGGAAAAACTTGACTTATTTGTAAGAAAATGGATGCACCTTGAGACCATAATGTTAAATGAAGTAACTCAGACACATAAGCTTAAATACTGCATGGCTTCTTTTATTAAAAAAAAGTCTGTGTCTATATAATAAAAGATAAGATAACAGGAAAAAAAGGAATAGGAAATTCCTAGGTAATAGGAAAAAAGGTGTTGTAATCCAGTGTGGATGATGTATCTAAAAGTACCCTGATTTAGTACAATTGCCTTACCTATTTTATATGTTCTTTGGCCTATTAGTCTGGTTTTCAATCTGAATATATGATAATTAACTTTATAAGGTCTTATAATAAATGAATCTGAAGCTGGAAAAATAAAAAGGAGGTAGAGGGTAGGGAGAAAGTAAGTGAAATGTGTTATCAACATTGCCAATTTCCTACAGTGAAGGAAGTCATTATGTGCTGCAAACATGTACTAAGAAAAATTTAAAAACCCAAAATGGGTTATTAAATTGATATAAACAAATACTTTGTGATCTTTATGGAAAGTAAGGTAATATGTATAATCTATATCTTACAGTTAAGTCTAAACCAATTATTGGTAGCTTACATACTACTTTCTCATTAACGTGAAAAAAAGGTCAAAGATGCTCAATCTTCAGGCACCTTCTCTGTTAAATTCCCAGAGAATTTCAGGAAGAATTCAGGGTTGTGGCAAAGAGTGGATTTATCCTCAGTGTTCGTGCCCCAAATGCCTCACACCTCTTACAGAGGTCCTGGCTCTGCTCTGGACCTCCACACCCACTCTATCCCTGGACCTGGGGAGATACTGGATTAAGAATAAACAAATTTGGAAACATCATGCTAGTAGTCCACTCGCATTTTGCATAAGACACCAAAAAGAAATCCTGTACATCTTAGTCTGAAGGCAAACCAAGGCCTTAAGACTCAATGGTAGACTACCACTACAGACCAATGGCAAGCCACATATGGTAATGCATGCATATAATCCCAGCTACTCAAAAGGCTGAGGCAAGATGATCATAATTTCAAGGCCAGCCTGGACAATTCAGTAAGACCCTGTCTCAAAATTCAAAACAAAATTAAAAGCACTGAGGATGTAGTTCAGTGGTGGAGCATTTGCTTAGCAGGCACCTGGCCTTGGTTCCACCCCAGTACAACAACAACAGCAACAAAAATGGCACATGGTAAAATGGAATCTAACACTTTCAGGAACCTCTCTGATATTAGCTTAATAGCCACCTGCAATCCACACACTTCAAGCTTGCCGATTTACCATTCTTTCTTCTTGAGGTTTTCTTTGATGGGGAAATTTACAGGTTCTATGCAAGAATATATCTTGAATTTGTGAGAAATTAAAATAACATGTTTCTTTAATATTATTATTATTAGCCTGATGTAGAGGCACACATCTGTAGCACTGTGGGATTATAAATTCCCAAATTTGAGCCCAGCCTCAGCAATTCAGCAACTTAGGGAGACCCTGTCTGCAAATAAGAAATAATAAAAAAGACTGGGAACACAGCCTGGGTCCAATTTTTAGAATCATAAAAGTAACAGAACATAATGGAAGAGAATGAAATACAATACAAACATTATGATAATCTATTTTAGATTTTTTTCCAAACTATCTTACTTTCAACAAAAGGATTCTAAACATAATAATCCCTGCATTTCAGGAGCATCTGAAGAAATGTGTCCACATACAAATATCTACATATACTCAGAAATTAACAAGTAAAAGTTCGTGTTTGCCCACCTTCTCTGGAAAAGACAGTAGCAGCAAAGGGGCATGCATCCCAGGAAGATCAAGGTGAGTACACTAAATCCAAATATGCGTGACACCTGTGTAGATTCTGTTGGTTTAATTATAATCTGTTACTTTTATGACTTAAGAGAGGCAAATGTGAGCTCTTTCATAAAGTCTTTATAAAAAAATCTATTGGTTAATTAAGTAAAATGAGAATATTCTTAAATGACAGATAAATATCCTTACTGCTCCATAAGTAGAATGCATAATATATATTTCTTCCTACACCCTAAGTGCATATTTTCTGTGGTCATATGTTACACATTGTACAGTACTTGAGAAGCAAATAAATCTATGAACCATTAACTTGGTAAAGAGGTAGCTTCTTAAATGTTTACTTCTAGGTTACAAAACATTAATTTAAACAAGGAATCAAGAATTTGCAGGTGAATAAGAATATTTCAGTACCCTATTCATTGGAAAATATACTCTGATATGATTGGGAAATTGTTGTCACCATTCAATTTTTCCCTTTTAAAAGAACCAAATGTCTCTTCACACATAATATAAAGACTAAACTGATGAATGAATTATATACATCAAGTGACAATGTTAAAACTAATACTATATTCATGATCAGGTTTTAGCTTTCATTATTAATATTACATACTCTACAAAGAATTGTAATTGAATAGGGACTGTATTAACTTAAGATACTGCTTTGCATGCATCCTTTTCATAGAGTTTGTTAGGGTCCCTTTATATCAAATCCATTTGCCATGGGACCAGCTAGTAATATGTCCTTGCTACTCAAACAAAAGTAGTAAATACTGAAATTCTCAGAACTTTGGAAAGAAAAAAAAATCTTAAGAACATAATTCAAAAACAAAAAAACAAAACAAAGAAAAGCCACTAAACATCTTGACAAGAAACACTGAAGTCTACTGCTGATGCTAAGACACTGAAGACAAAGTAAATTTGAAGAATCCTACTCGAAAAGAAGCTAAGACAACAAAAATAAGCTAACGCATACCCAACTGGTATCACTGGAACTCAAAAAAAGATAACCCAAAGTGAAGGCTCCAGAAGCAAACATTCTTTCTGACCTTTTCCAGTCCTGTCTTCTGCTACCTTTTCCCCCAGAAAAGACATGGAATCCACAATTTCTTTTACCCAAGACAGCTGATAGAAATTAGAAATCCTTTTCCCTAAAGCAAGCTATAAGCCTAAAAATGTTTTTTTTTTAATCTTCTACCTTTCTGTCTTGGTGATAGCCATAAAGAAACTCTCTGACTTACCTTGTCTGAAAGTAGGTTAAAGATCCCCATTTCAGAAACAGTCTTGCCCCATACATGGGAGGAAGGAACGTTGGACAGAAAGTCCAAGAAAAAATTTGAGCAGACAGGCCTTGCTGAGCTTGCCCACTTAAGTCTATTAACACTAAATCATGTGCCTTATGTCCAATCATATCTCTATGTGGTTTCCATGCTTCATGGAATCTAAGCATAAAAATGGACATCTCACCCTACATTTTCGGGTTTTCAATCTGATGGTTCCTGTGTCACATGAAATTATGGTCAAATAAATTTCTTATGCTCTTCACTTAATAATCAGTCTTTTGCAATAGAGCTGTCATCCATGACTTTTTATGACAAGCATGAAAGGGATCATCACGTTTTCTACCTTTACAGTATCTTTCCCCAGGCATTGAAAGTTATACATCATAGCCGGGGTTTTAGCTCAATGGCATCACCACGCCCTGTGTCTGTCTCACAAGTGCAAGGTCCTGAGTTCAATCCCCCATACTGTTAAAAAAAAAGAATGAGAACAAAAGATAATTTTTTTAAAAGTTACACATCATAGAACTTGGAACTCTTGAGACAAAAGGCAGAGAGTGACTAATGCAAAAGCAAGAATAATTCTGAATGGTCATAATACATCCACTAAGCAGAAACTGCTCATGAATATAGAGGTCTGACTACCTCAGGAGAAAGGACAGTATTACTTTAGGGCTAAAGAGCTCTCTCAAAGTGTTAAGCCTGGAGATCCAAATGTGAACTTACACAATTGTAACTCATCTACTCAATTTATAAAAATAAGTGAAACTGGATGCACTTACTATCTATAAATGGCATAAAGCAATTCCTGGTCGCAGATGTTGAAAAACAGCATTTGGATTTCAAACACTGGAGCTCAGTATGGTTTAGCATCTCATTGCAAGGTGTTACTTCTTGATTCTCCTTTACCATGCAGGCTTTTAAAAACAGAAGACCAAAAAAGATGATTTAGCATGATTAATAAGCACTCGGCCTAATTAAATAATTACTGCAATTCAAATGAAGAAAAATATGTAAGCTGGTACATTGAAAAGACAGAATAACATATAAATAATGATGAAGGCTGAAAAAAGAAGAGAAAATAAGAGTTAAAAATTACCACAAAGTTGTTTAAGAGTACATTTTTAATTGTGGTTGAACTATAGAAAAATAAAAATTGTCAACAAATCATTGCTAATAAAATTTTTTAAATAAACAAAGAAAGGACAATAAATCACTAGCTAAATGGTGGTGTTCTGGTTTATATCTAGATGTTCCCCCAAAGCCTTATGTGCTCACAGGTGGAGCTTTGGAAGGTGATTGGATCATGGTGACATGATAGTCATCAGGTAGATGAGTCCACTGATGAGTGTGTAGCTAAATGTGACGCTGGGAGGTGAAACCTGGTTGGAGGAGGTGAGTCATTGAAGGCTTGGCCTGGAAGGGTCAATCTCTCTCCCTCCTCCCTCTCCCCCTCCCTCCCTCTCCCTCTCCCTCT